TTTTCCGGGGGGAAACCAAAAATTCATTTTTTTTAGATGTTTATTTAATGGGCCAAAATATATGTTAGTTCGGCCATATTTGTTTTAAATAGTATTGTACATTGCATGATTTCATCAAAAATTTTAGTTTATTGTGCACATTGCATAATTGTTTTGTCAGAATTTTCATTTTTCGTGTTGCTGCCTTTAGAAAAAGACGATTTTTATTTATGTTGTTGGTGATGACCGAGGTTGATGATTTCATTGCAGTTCTTCCCGCTGGCGGCTTGCAGTTGAGTGGTCAGGGGAGCGAGGGTCTTCAGACCATCGCAATGACCAACGCTGCAACTGCTGGTGGAGCCATAGTCCACTATGCTCAAGGTTCAGACCCTCAGTTTATTGTACCAGGTGAGGACCATAATAGTCCACTATGCTCAAGGTTCAGACCCCTCATTTATTGTACCAGGTGAGGACCATAATAGTCCACTATGCTCAAGGTTCAGACCCTCAGTTTATTGTACCAGGTGAGGACCATAATAGTCCACTATGCTCAAGGTTCAGACCCTCAGTTTATTGTACCAGGTGAGGACCATAATAGTCCACTATGCTCAAGGTTCAGACCCATCAGTTTATTGTACCGGTGAGGATCATAATAGTCTACTATGCTCAAGGTTCAGACCCTCAGTTTATTGTACCAGGTGAGGACCATAACAGTCCACTATGCTCAAGGTTCAGACCCTCAGTTTATTGTACCAGGTGAGGACCATAACAGTCCACTATGCTCAAGGTTCAGACCCTCAGTTTATTGTACCAGGTGAGGACCATAACAGTCCACTATGCTCAAGGTTCAGACCATATTGTCTGCCTGAAATGCCCCGACATAATAGTAGCTTTCTTTGTATTTAAAAGAATCAAAATATATAATTACACATTGAAACCTTTACAAAGAAATAAAACCTTCATGTTTACCAGGTGAGGAGATTAATACTTATTATTATTGTTCCAGGTGAGAACCACACTAGTAACTATTATTATTGTTCCAGGTGAGAACCACACTAGTAACTATTATTATTGTTCCAGGTGAGAACCACACTAGTAACTATTATTATTGTTCCAGGTGAGAACCACACTAGTAACTATTATTATTGTTCTGGGTGAGAACCACACTAGTAACTATTATTATTGTTCTGGGTGAGAACCACACTAGTAACTATTATTATTGTTCCAGGTGAGAACCACACTAGTAACTATTATTATTGTTCCAGGTGAGAACCACACTAGTAACTATTATTATTGTTCCAGGTGAGAACCACACTAGTAACTATTATTATTGTTCCAGGTGAGAACCACACTTTTATCGTTATTATTATTGTTTCAGGTCGGAACCACACACTTACCCTTTGTAGGGTCAGTGCCATAGTTGTCGTGAACTCGGCTCACTCAGATAAGCTGCGAGTGGTAAATTCAGGCCTAGATATGAGAGCATAGGTCTATGTAGTGAGTGTGTACCATATAAAAAAGAAATGATGCAGCACGCAATGTATCAATAACAAAAAAGGCACAATACCGTGACTGGAACGATACACAAATAACCCGCACATAAAAGAGAGAAGCTTACGACGACGTTTCCGTCCGACTTGGACCATTTGTAAATGGTCCAAGTCGGACCAAAACGTCATCATAAGCTTCTCTTTTATGTGCAGGTTATTTGTGCACGCAATGTATTGTGGGAAAAAACTGTGACCGTGTTTTTTGGTTAAAACGGTGACTTTGCCGTGTATTTTGGTGTGGTTTTTATGGTTGTATTCTCGGTTTCTTGGTCTCGTTTGATGGAATGGAAGATATATTACAGAAGTAGAGATGATTTTGATTGGTTTCAGTACTGAAAGTAGCTTGAAATTGAGCTCAAAGTAGCAGAAATGTTCAATTTTTGTGGTGGTAATCATTTTTTTGTGGATGTGGATCAACCGGGTTGTTAGTGACGCATGAGCACACACGCAAACACATTTCTGTATCTCGAGAATTCAATTTTTTGTCCAAATAATCTTCAATTTTGATATACAGTCTACCAACCTACTACCTAGATTATTACTATTATTTTTGTTTTTTTCAACAAGTCGGCTGTCTCCCACTGAGGCAGGGTGACCCAAAGTGAAAGAAAATCCCGAAAAAGAAAATACTTTCATCATCACTCAACACTTACACCTCACTCACACATAATCACTGTTTTTGCAGAGGTGCTCAGAACACAACAGTTTAGAATCATATACATATAAAGATACACAACATATCCCTCCAAACTGCCATTATCCCGAACCCCTCCTTTAAAGTGCAGGCATTGTACTTCCCATTTCCAGGACTCGAGTCCGGCTATGTTATTATTTTTCAACAAACTGGTCGTATCCCACCAAGGCAGGGTGGCCCAAAAAGAAAAATGAGAGTTTCCCTTTTTAAATTTAGTAATTTATACAGAAGAAGAGGTTATTAGCCCTTTGCTCCCGGCATTTTAGTTGCCTCTTACAACACGCATGGCTTATGGAGGAAGAATTCCATTCCACTTCCCCATGGAGATATGAGGAAATGAACAGGAACAAGAACTAGAAAGAAAATAGAAGAAAACCCAGAGGGGTGTGTGTATATATATGCTTGTACATGTATGTGTAGTGTGACCTAAGTGTAAGTAGAAGTAGCAAGACGTACCTGAAATCTTTCATATTTATGAGACAGACAAAAGACACCGGCAATCCTACCATCATGTAAAACAATTACAGGCTTTCGTTTTACACTCACTTGGCAGGACGGTAGTACCTCCCTGGGTGGTTGCTGTCTACCAACCTACTATCTAGACTTATTATTATTATTATTGTTATATTATTATTATTATTATTATTATTATTATTATTATTATTATTATTATTATTATTATTATTATTATTGTTGTTGTTGTTGTAGCAGCTATGATATGGTGATGATATTATTTCATATTAATATATTAAAACATTCTGAAACTACAATATCAGTGTAAATCTTGAAAATGAACGACCTTAGTGAATAACATTGTTCTTTGACAGTTGCAACGAGTGATCTGAGTGGGCTGAAGATCGCCACCAGCACCGGTACTAGTCTAGCACAGGGTGTTGTACTAGCAACCACAGCCACCACTGGTGTTCACGGCTCCAGCGACCAGATGGCAGAGGAGGCGTCACGCAAAAGAGAGATAAGACTAATGAAGAACAGGTAAAGTTGTGTTCATAAAGAATAGAGTCACAGTACCCCGACTGGAACAGTGCACGTAGACAGTGGGAGACCTATATTTTTTAGGGCCTGAAGCTTCAGCTGTTATGGGCCCCTTCACAACCCCTTCTCATATAGTAGATCCAAAATTTTTAATCAGTGTGGACTAGTCACTTAAGGGGGGCCCTCAGGGATTAGGGGCCCCTGAAGCTTAAGGGGGCTGTAGGGCAATTGGCCGCGCGCGCTCACCGAAAAATCGGAAAAATATGGATATTGAGTTATATATACTGAAAAAAAGCTCAACTCTTTGGCAACACAATGGTACCAGAATGAATGTTCTACGACGTTTCTACAAGAAATTATAGTCATTTATATCAGGTATGGTGACGGCGATGTTGGTACCGAGTCTGCTCACGGCCTATATATTTTTTGGAGTTATTTTCTTGTTTTTTATCGCCTTTTCTTGCATTATTCTTTCTAATATAATAACGACTATTTGGCATCATAAAACAGTAGGCGGGACTTATCCTGAGACTTAGTGACTGCCGGGAACCCGATGGGAACGCTCAGCAGTGTGCCACCGCTCGAGTGCCAGCCAGGAATCACCCATTATTACGCTTATATCAGCTTTTATATCAACTCTACGGCTTATTTGTCTATCAGAATTGATCTAATATGATATAATAAACACTCTAAATAACATACAAACATGTTATATACTCTAGACTGAAATAAAATAGGCCATAATATGGCCCAGAGATTATCGGGAATATTTCGATATAAAAGTGTAACTGGTCACCTGTCGTCTCTGAGTAAGAGAAAACGGTGTTTTGAAGAGATAACTCTGCACTAGAACATCAGTTTACTAAGAAATACACCCAAACAAACGCGATTTCGCGAATTTTTTTTTTTTTTTTTTTTGAGACGGGGCCGGCCGGCGTTCCCGGCCGATATCTCGGAAGTAACTTATTCACCTATAATTCGATGTGGCTCCTTTATTACTTAATTAATGGAATAATATTCACAGATATTGTAGAATAATGATTTCTCTTATCCTGACCGTAGAGTTTTTGAAAATATTCCAAATAGTTCGGGAGTTATGTGGGAGTAAAGGGCAGATTTTTTGCAATATTCCAGAAACTAACAAACTTATTTTTTTTTGTGAAATAACGATAAGGTATTTAGAGGGAAATCCTACGGTCCGAATTAGTATTAGCATTGTTCTCTCGGCACCAAGTGTCCAAACCACCTTACGTAGCCGCATATAAGAGTTGCATCAAATCAAGGGCATTTTCAGTAAATCAGTCTTTTCTCAGTTGTTGTTTGAGGTATATTTTTTATAAATATTTTCGAGAAAGAGTGAGAACACTTTGTCTTGTGCACCAAAACTGGAGAAAATCGGACGGTAAATAAACGAGTTACGAAATTTGCCCTACAGCCCCCTTAAGCTTCAGTACTTTCATAGTAAATATGCCTCTGCTAGTAGGAGAATTAAACTTACGACTGCAGTTTGGTCAAACCTGGATCATTAACTACCATAATAGGAAGTTTATTTTAGCATGTTGGTACAAAAGAATATAACAGTTGAGTGTACATGCCATAAGCCCCTTCATATGCAGAGCATTTTGGACAAACTTAAGATTAATAAGGCAATAATAGTCCAGTAATTTTGTACATACGGTCATTAGGCGAGTTTACAATGAATACAAGAGAATTGAATATTCTGTTAGCTCATGCTATATGGCTTTAACCCTTTGACTGTTGAGACCCCAAATCCTGAAGTGTCTCTGTGTCGCTAAATATTCGAATAAAAAAAATATTTTATGAAACGACAGAGAATCTTTTCCCGATAGGGAATTACGCTCTTGCGAAGTTAGAAATCTTGATGATATATACACATCTGTGATTTTGCCCACTTTGAGCCCTATTTTCGGCCAATTTCATTGCTCCAATGGACATTGCTCCTGTTCATCCTCCAGACTTGGTAGACCAATTGTTGGAGGAGTTTAGTTTCATCACGGTGAAGTTCTTGCCCCCTAATACCACTCCTCTCATCCATCCCATGGACCAACAGGTCATTTCAAACTTCAAAAAACTTTACACCAAAGCAGTGTTTCAAATGTGCTCAATTTGAAGTGACCTCAGACACTGAATTCAACATAAGAGAGTTCTGCAGGAATCACTTCAATATCCTCCATTTCATAAGCCTTATAGATAAGGCTTGGCAGGAAGTAACTTCCAGGACTATGAGCTCTGCTGGGAGAAAATTGTGGCCAGAATGTGTCCAAGAGAAGGATTTTGAAGGGTTTGAGGCAGATCCTGACAATCCTATGCCTGTTGTGGAATCTGTTGTGTTTTTGGGGATGTTAGTGGCCAAGATGTGGAAGAGTTGGTGGACGACCACAGGGAAGAGCTAACCACTGAAGAGCTGCAAGACCTTCAACTGGAAAAGCAACAGATGGCAGCTGAGGAAATTGCTACAGAGGAGGAAGAGAGAGAGAGAGGAGAATATGCATTCTTCAGTGATTAAGGACCTGTGTGCAAAGTGGAGTGAGTCGCAAAAATTTGTGGAGAAATATGACCCTAACAAAGCTATTGCAAGCCTTGTCTCCAACATGTTCAATGACATTGCCTTTCCCATTTTTAAGCAAATCTTAGAGATACCATGAAACAGACTACTCTAAACCAGATTTTTTGTGCAACAGGGGTCCAGTGACTCTCAACTGGTCCTAGTGCCAGTAAAAAACAAAGAAGGGAAGTAACCCCAGAAAGGGCCTATGATACCTGAAGTCCTTATAGAAGGGGATTTCCCTTCCAAACAATAACCTCTCCTCCCCTCCCCTCCTCACCGTCTTCCATACGCCAACAAGAGTCTTCGTAAAGAAAAAGAATTTTTAAATATTTATTTTTCATTTCAACTGTGTATATTTATTTCTTATTGTTTTCTATATGTAAAGTTAGTTATTTCAAACAAAATGTATTTTTCTTTTTAATTTTTTTGGGGTGTCTGGAACGGATTATTTGAGTTTACATTATTTCTTAGGAAAATGTTGTTTCATTTTTTCAAAAAATTTGTTTCCCGTCAGATTTTCGGGAATAAATTTTAATCACGAAACTGAGGTTTCCATCGTAATAAAAAATATCAATAATTTTAAAACACTTAAAATTTTTTTGGAAAAATTTCCAGCATAATAGAGAGTTGCTCACGGAGAATGTAAAAAAAACCAGGGGGGGCCCCCTGCTGTATTGAAAGACCGCTCCGTATGCAATTTTTTGGTCATAGTTGAAATCGCCGATTAGCAAAATCCCGTGAGCGGGCCTACAGTACTGTAGGCAGGTTGTAATAATTTATAAAAAATATCGTGCAATTGTAAACACACATTAGACCCCAGTTGGTGTGAAATTAGAGGGATGCAATTTGTTTATTTCTACCAACATGTAAAAGGTATACCTACATTAAAGGTATACCATACATTAAGGTATACCAGTACATGTAAAAGGGTTTTACAAGTACTGTAAAGGTATCCCAGACATGTAAAAGGAAATACCAGTACATGTAAAAAGGTAGCCAGTACTTTAAAAGGTTACCAGTACATGTACAAGGTTACCAGTCATGTACAAGGTATACCAGTAAGTAAAAGGAAACCCATAATGTACAAGGTATACCATACAGTACAAGGATCCCTACATTAAAATTTTAACCGTACATGTACAAGGTATACCATACATGTACAAGTATACCAGTCTGACAAGGTATAAAAGTAATGTAAAAGGGATAAAAGTACATTTACAAGGGAAACCCAGTACATGTACAAGGTAACCGACATGTACAGGTATACAAGTACATGCACAAGGTTACCAGTACATGACAAGGTATACCTACATGTACAAGGTATACAAGAATGGACAAGGTATACAAGTAAATGTACAAGGTATACCATACATGAAAAGGGTTCCAGTACATGTACAAGGTTACCGTACATGAAACCGGGATACAGACAGTAAAAGGGTTTATAAAAGTACATGTAAAAGGGTTTAAAACCAGTAATGTACAAGGTATACAAGTACATGGACAAGGTAACAGTACATGTCAAGGTATACCAGTACTGTAAAAGGGTTCCCATACATGTAAAAGGTATACAAGTAATGTACAAGGTATCCAGAAAACATGTACAAGGATCCCATACATGTACAAGGTAACAATACATTACAAGGTATACAAGTACTACAAGGTATACAAGTAATGGTCAAGGTATAAAAGTACTGTAAAAGGGTATACCAGTACATATCAAGGTATACCATACATTAAAAGGTTCCCAGTACATGTCAAGGTTACCATACATGTAAAAGGATACCAGTCATGTACAAGGATACCAGTCATGTACAAGGATAATGACAAGGTATAAAATACATGTACAAGGTATAAAGTAATGTAAAAGGGTATACCTACATGTAAAAGGTAACAAGTACAGTACAAGGTAACAAGTACATGTAAAAGGTTACAAGTACATGTACAAGGTATCCCTTTACTGACAAGGTATACAAGTACGTAAAAGTATCCCAGTACATTTCGGTATACAAGTACGGTACAAGGTATACCAGTAAATTCCAAGGTATACCGTACATGTACAAGGAAACCCAGTACATGTACAAGGATCCCGTACTGTAAAAGGTATACCATACATGTAAAGGTATACCAGTACATGTTTGGGTTACCATACATGTACAAGGTTACCGTACATGTACAAGGTAACAAGTACATGAAAAGGTTACAATACATGAAACAAATCAAGTACATGACAAGGTATCCAGTACAGTACAAGGTAAAACCAAAAAATACAAGGTATAAAAGTACATGTACAAGGTATCCAGTACTATACAAGGTATACCAGTAATGTACAAGGTAAACTCAGTACAAGGATACAATACATGTACAAGGTAACAAGAAGTACAAGGTATACAAGTACATGTACAAGGTATACAAGTACTGTAAAAGGTTACAAGTAATGTAAAAGGGTATACCGTACATGTACAAGGTATCCCAGAAGTACAAGGATACCAATACAAGTAAAAGGTATACCAGACATGTCAAGGTTACCAGTACATGTACAAGGTTACCAGTATATAGCCAAGGTATACCAGTACATTACAAGGTATACAAGTACATGACAAGGATA